GCCAGGCGGCGAGGCGGCGGCGCGCGGCGTCCTCGGGCGCGGCGCCCGTGGCGCCCTCGCTGTGGAAGAAGCGCGCGGCGACGTCGAGGCGCTGGGCCGCCGTCGCGAGGTCGGCGACGGGCGTCGCGCTGAGGCGGCGGAAGACGTGGTGGAAGTCGAGGGCGAGGTCGTCCATGGTGTCGAGGAGGCCGCTGAAGAGGTCGTCAAAGTCGGCGTCGACAAAGGTGCGCAGGCCGAGGCGCGCCGTCATGAGGCGCTTGTACTCGGCGAGGAAGACGGCCTTGTACTCCTCGCCGACCTGGCTGATGATCTTCTCGGCGCGGGCGACGAGGGCGTCGGCGTCGGCCTCTGCGACGCCGTGCTCGACGAAGGCCGGGTCGTCGACGGCGGGGCCGGCGCCGAGGAGCTCGCCGAGGGCCTCGCCGAGGCGCACGAGGTTCCACCAGATGATGGTCGGCTGGTTGCGGTAGCTGTAGCGCAGGGCGTGGTCGTCGTGGTTGGGCGTGTACTGCGGGTCAAAGTCGTCGAGGAAGGCAAAGGGCCCAAAGTCGAGGCTGAGGCCGAGGATGGACGTGTTGTCCGTGTTGAGGACGCCGTTCATGAACCCGTAGGCCTGCCACTTGGCGACGGTGAGGGCGTTGCGCCGCGTGATCTCGCGGTACAGCCGCGTGAAGCGGTTCTCGGCGGCGTCGTCGGGGCCCTGGATGTCCGTCGAGGGCACGCCGCGGCCTGGGTCCGCAGGGGCGGCCTTGGGGTCGTCTGGGTTCGCGAGGCGCGCCGGCAACGCTTCCCAGCCGCCGAGGACGTCGGTGGCGACGTAGGTGGCGAGGGTGCGGAGGAGGGGTCGCTCGGAACGGGCGCGAAGAATGTCAAAGTTGCCGAAGCGCAGCCAGGACTGGGCGAAACGGAGAACAATGGCCCCCGGCTCCACAGTCTCGCGGCGGACTTTGGAGTTCGGGAGGAGGGTCAGGGAGAGGGCGCGCGTGGTAGGGATGCGCAGGGCGTGGAGGGCTTCGGAGACGATGAACTCGCGGATGCTGGAGCGGAGGACCGCCTTGCCGTCGGCGAAGCGCGAGTAGGGCGTCATGCCGGCCCCCTTGAGCTGGAGCTCGTACTGGACGCCGGTGGCGGGGTTCTTGGTCTCGAAGAGAGAGATGGCGCGACCGTCGCCGAGCTGGCCAGCCCACTGGCCAAACTGAAAACCGCCGTAGCACTGCGCCCATGGGTAGCCTCCCTCCAGCGTCTCTTCGTCCCAGCCGTGTAGCCTGTTCCCGGCGACGGTCTGGCGAAACTCGTCCGTCGTCTCGTCCCCCTCTTGGATGCCAATGTCGCGCATGGCCGCCGGGCTCACGGCGAGCAGCTCGGGATTTTCAGCGGGCTCTGGTCGAACATAGGAGAAGATGGCATTGCGGACTTGTCGTGGCCTTATTTGATCCCGTGGTGTCTCGTGCGAGTCAGCTGGTGTCGGGTATTGTGAGTCGGCGGGGAGGGAGCTCGTGAAGTGCCACGTCTTGGGAAGGTCGGCGATGGAGACGCCAGCAGCCGGTTTGCTGCCATGGCCATCGCCTGAGGCTGTGGTGGACGCCATGCGCGATACGAGCAGAGGCAGTCGCGGATGAGCGTGGCGGGGTGTGAGGATGGTCGTGATGCTGGATGTCGGGCGCAGAGGTCGGCTCTTCGGAATCCTCATGGACGGATGAGCGGTCGGTGACTCCAAATGAATGAGAGAGAGAAAAAGAAAAGGGGGGGAACAAGTAAAAATCCCCAGCAGTCAATTCACTTGATAATGGATACGTTCCTGACGAGGCACAGAAGGTGGTGGTCCAGAAGTGTCAGAGGGGGCGACATTTGAAATCGGATGGCCATCGCCATGTCGAGTCGAGTCGAGTCGAGACCGGCCGTTTGCTTTACGTCATCCTGAAGATGCCGCCACTTTGTCTTGTCGCGCTTCGGGGGATAAGGTCCTACACGAGCACTCTCTGCTCTACCTCGGACGACTGGTGATGACGGTGCAGGCTCGTCAGGGACAGGTTCAGAAGGGATGGACGATGTGAGAATCGCCATGGGCAACATTTCCCAGCGCAGTGCTTCAGCTCATTGATGACGGTGGTCGTGATCCATCATGAACGGACGACGAAACGGCGCATGAGGCAGACGGTAGCGTTCAGGTAACGGCAGGCGCTCTGCCGTCTTAGGTACGGTAGTTACGGTACCTACCTTAGACGCAGGGGCAGGAAGAGCAGGGCCAGGAAGATGCGGGGCGAACGGGACAGCTTTGGCATGGCTTGCCCACCCCACCTCTACCCACCCATTCATCAACACATCTCTTCATCCATCCATCCACTCAGCCCACGCACCAGCCGGCCCCTCACTCCTTGAACAGACCAAACGGCCGCCTCTGGATGGCCCGACCACGGCCCTTTCATCTCGCTGCGAAGGGGATGCCTCATGTGTCGAGTCATCCATTGCCATGGCGAAATCAATCGCGCCATTGAGGCTCTTCCTGGGTCAACAGCCAGGCGCCGTGTTTACCGGGCATGATCCACTCTACAAGACAAGCAAGGAAGGAAGGTGAGGCAAGTGAGGCGAGGCAGGCAAGGCAGGCCAGTGTGAGAAGGACTGCAGACATACGACTCCGAGATTCTACGAAAAATTCAACTGTCTAGCGCCCACGCACTCGCAAGCTGAATGCCAATCCAACCTCGAAATACTCACGCAGTTCAAGCGACGAACTAGACTCCAACTCGTTCCGTCGATAGGTCCTCTTCAAGAGCTGGCACGGGATAACCCGGTCTACCAGCCCGCCGGCCATGCGCCTCCCCCGAGTCAGCATCCCGCAGCTTCCCCAACTCGACACGGTCCTTCGACCCCTCCGCGAAGCCCGCATTCTAGATCTTCGTGCTTGGCACCCTCTAGCGGCGACTTCTCCGCGTTGCCCTGCACTGCCTATCCCAGTTCCCCGGCTGGCTCTCGACTCCAACCCCCTCCAGCGGCAAGGTACCTAGTCAAGGTAGACACCGACAGGTCGACGAGAGGGTTGCAATGCGTCAATAATTCACCTTCTTGGCTGTTCGTCCCCTTGGCCCGGAACGCCCGATTAGTCCCAGCTCGAGTCAACGATTTCTCCCGGGCTCGGGGGACGGGGGTCACCCCATGCTCTGCCATGTGCTGAGGGCGAGGGGATCGACCGAGTCGTCTGCTGGAGGGAGGTCGCTGCAAAGGGAACAGCTGCATGCTCGTCAGGTACAGACGGGGGTTGTAGAGTCTGTATAAAAGGCCCGGCAAGACGACCTACATGACGATATGCTTCCCTCTCCCCTCACGCTCAACTCTCACCCCTCTACTCTTGCCCCCGTACTACAACATCACATCATATCCCTCTCGTCCACCCTAACGACAGTACAATGGTCAACTGCACGAACATCATCGCCATCCTGGCTGGCACCTACAGCCTCCTCAACACCAGCAGGTCCGTCTCATGTTATCCTGGCCCCCACGCACGCCCATGCCGCCCAGAGTGTCCAGCCAGCTAACATGAATCGCAGCACGCTCAACGGCGTCGACATTCCCGACCGAGCCTACGGCGAGGACCCCGTCGGTATCCTGACCTACAGCCGCTCCGGCTTCATGTCCGCCACTATTGCCGCCACCGAGCCCGAGCTGCGTCCGCAGAGCCTGACGTTCCCCTTCACGGACGATCAGTCAGAGGCCGACTGGGCCCTCGTCGGCAAGCACGGCGTGGCCTACGCCGGGCCCTTCTCCGTCAGCGACGCCATCCCCGCGACGGCCACGTCCGGCCAGATCTTCCACGGACCCCTGACCGTCGCCAACGTGCCGCGGTGGGTGGGCACGAGGCAGACGAGGAACTACACCCTGTACGAGAATGGGCGGCTGCTGCACATCTCCTCGCAGCGCGACGGCGGCTTCCGTGGCGAGCTGTGGTGGGAGAGGCTCGACTGAGCCTATTTCCCCTCCGCAAGGTCCATGAGGGATGGTTGATGTGTGTTTCTACCTGTACATATTATGTGTCCCTTTCTTGTTGTGCTATATTGGCAGAGGAGCATCGGGCACTTTTCTTGCGTGTTGATTTAGACGAAACACGACGAATGAATGAAGAGAAAAGAAACTTTACTACAACAAAAACAAGCTTAACCGGGAAACTCGAGACGATGGACGAGCTCTGGCGGACCATGGGCGCCGTAGGGGAAATGAAGTGCATGACCTTTCGGCGGCGACGCCGGGGAGGTTGCATCGTCTGTCGAGCCTGTACCTTGATCGTTGGCGGGGTTGGAGGGTTGCATCGGCGGGGAGGCACTGCACTGCACGAAGACCCATGTAAGCGTCGGCCAGGTCCCGAATCGAGGGCTGCTTCCTCAACGAAGGGTGGCATCAGACGAATACCTGTCAGTCGAGACCTGGCAGAGCACTGCATGGCGTGGAGAGCGAGGATGGGGTGAAGGCGGTTTCGTCGATCTTGGCGAGACAAGGCGAGATGTCTTGGGTCTTGGGCACGCATCGACCACAGCTTATCCTGGCCAATTTGGAACGGTGCGAAGGCCGTGACGGCGCGGCGCGAAAGCCGTTGGACGGTAGTTGGACGGGACGGGCGGGGAACGTGCGTTGGGTGGGTCCATGCGTAAAACGGAAACAAAACGGACATGGCCATGAGGGATGCGGGGTATCGAGACCCCACGTCACGGTCTGCTATGAGCTCAATTCCGAGAGCGAGTAGAGACTACAGGGCGAGGTGTGCTGCAATGGAGATGACAGACCCAAGACTGTCTCAGTCTTCAAGATGTTGGGAGTGAATGACCAGTTTACTATCTTGAGTATATCGTGGACGAAAAACCAGGCGGCAGCAGTGCTGAGTCGACCGACGGACGTTTTCCATGTCCAATCGGACACTCATTCGTCGTGCTTACTTACCTACGCTGAACCAACTCCTTCACAACGCGCGCCATATATATACATAGTTCAATTTCAATGCACATGGATACACTATACTTTCTTTCGCGGCTTAGGCACTCCCCGGCATTGGCTTTCCTCACCGGATGCTTCGTCATGGCCGCCGACGCGCCATTCGTAGAGTTCATGGCGCCACAGGCCCACTGGGATACGTCACCTCGGCCTGAGACGGCACCTACCGAAAGAGGCTCTGCCCCTCGGCCCCTTCGCTCGGCAGCCTTCCATGACTTCACTCATGACCTCAACCTGAGCTGCCGATACCACAGCGATCCTCATACATCCCATCAACCTCGAGACCGACACACGCGATACCATCCGATCCGGCCAGCACGATGAACTCGATCGGATCCGTCTGGAAGCCTGACGCCACGGGCCAGTCCCCGAAGCAGGTTCCCTATATCCCCCACCTCAAGCTCAACGATGGCAACGAGATCCCCATGGTAACGCCCCCTCTCTCTCGCGTCAAGCCCCAAGGCATCAAGGCCACTTTGCTGACAGACCAGCTCGCCTACGGCCTCGGCACGGCCAACTTCAAGAAGGGTGGTGGCTCGTACGACGAGAAGATTGTCGAGATCACGACGGCGGCCATCAAGGCCGGCTACTTCCACCTCGACGGCGCAGCAGGTACGCCGTTTCGTTCCTAACGATTGTCCGTCCAGGCCTTCTGCTGACACGGCAGCCCTACAGTCTACGGCAACGAGGAGGAGCTCGGCGCGGCCATCAAGGCGGCCGGCGTCCCGCGCGAGAAGCTCTACGTGACGACCAAGCTCGCGGGCACGAAGAAGGAGCCGATCCAGCAGGCGTTCGAGACGTCGCTGCGGAAGCTCGGCCTCGACTACGTCGACCTCTACCTCATCCACGCGCCCTTCTTCGCCGACGGCGACGCCGACCTGCAGGCGGCCTGGGCCGAGCTCGAGGCCCTCCACGCCTCGGGCCGCGCGCGGTCCATCGGCGTCTCCAACTTTCTCCAGCCCCACCTCGAGGCCGTGCTCCAGACGGCCAAGGTCACGCCCGCCCTCAACCAGATCGAGTTCCACCCCTACCTCCAGCACGGCGACCTCCTCGCCTTCCACCGCCGCCACGCCATCGCCGTCTCGTGCTACGGCCCGCTGACGCCCGTCACGCGCGACGTCGAGGGCCCCGTCCCCGCCCTCTGGGCCCGCCTCGCCGCCAAGTACGGCGTCTCCGAGTCGGAGATTGGCATCCGCTGGTGCATCGACCAGGGCCTCGTCGCGCTGACGACCTCGTCCAAGGAGGACAGGCTGCAGACCTACATGACGCGCGTGCCCGGCTTCAAGCTGACGCCCAAGGAGGTCGAGGAGATTGCCGAGGCTGGCAAGACGGTGCACTACCGCGCCTTTTGGAACAAGTACTTTGAGGACGACGACAGGCGGTGAGAGTATTTCGTGGGGGGGGGGGGTGAACGGGTCCTGATGAACGGGTCCCGGTGAACGGGTCCAAAAGAGTGGTGTGCAAAGCATATATGAGCATACGACGTCATCTGGGGACATGACATACGAGGGTGTCCCCCTGAGCAAGCCTAATCTGGAGCAAGAACCGCACCAACTGCCATCCCTGTCGCGTGATTTCATCTTTCATTATCATGAAACCACCGTCCAATACCATTACAATTCATCATCCGACTCGGTCTCGCTACCAGCCGGCGGCGGCGCAGGCGCGGCCTTCTTCGCCGTCTTCTTCATGAACGGCAGGGCTCGCGCAGGCGGCGGCGCATCGTCCTCCTGCACCCTCGCCGGGTTTTGCGCCGGCTTTGCCTCCTCTTCCTCCGCATCGTCTTCGTCTTCGTCATGCTCGCTTGCCGTCTCTGTTTCATCGTCCGTCGTGTCTCGCTGCTGGTCAGACATTTCTGCGTCAGCCTCCTTGCTGACGGCCGTGTCGACGTCCATCTTCTCGAACCCGTCGTCTGACTCGTCGTCGTCGTCCTCCGCCGCGGGTGCTGCTGCTTTCCTCTTCGACGCCCGTGACTTGGTCGCCGTGCGCCCCTGACCAGCAGTCTTGGCCGCCTTGCCTGGCTGTGATGTTTGTGACGGGGGGACGGCGGGCGGATCGCCAGACGCGGCGGCGGCGAGGATCTTCTGCTGCTCGCGGATCTTGACCTTTTTCGCGTTGAGCAGGTCGCGGAACTTGAGCAGCAGTTCCGTCTCGTCCGTAGTCTTCGCCTCGACGAGCTCGTCGAGCTGGCTCTTGAGCTGCCACACCGACGCCTCCAGCTCGGTCTGCTTGGTCGTGACGGCGGCGAGCGTCACGTTGGCCTGCACGACGGCAGCTGCCGCGAGGCCGCACCAATCAAAGAGCTCGATCTCCTCGTCGGCATTGTGCTTGAGCTCCAGCGTGCCCAGGCGTTGCTAAGAAAAAAAGAATTAGCGGTCGGCGCCTTGTGGGCAGACGGAGGAGGAGGAGAAGGCGGGCATACCGTGATACCCTTGACACGCCGCCTCACGGTGACAGTGATGGCGACCTCGCTCTCCACCGTGGCGATGGCCTCAACGCCCTCGCCGGGGTTCTGCGTCAGGAGGCCAGACAGAATGTCGACCCACTCCTCTTCGGCGCAGGGGCTGTTCTTGACCAGCAGGGCGGCGACGCGATCATGACGCACTGCACGAAGTATGTCTGGTCAGATCGGGGCTGCCGGACCGGGGAGGGGAGAGGCGTCACGCTTGCAGAAGGCGTGGGAGAAGCACGCGGCCTGAGACAGGGCTGCCGGCCGGGCCGCGGCGATCGGCGGGGTAAGAGTGGAAGGGGGGGAGAGAGAGAGAGAGAGGGAGGGGGGAGGGGGGAGAGAGAGAGAGAGAGGGAGGGGGGGGGGAGAGAGAATTCGACGTACATGAGGCTACATAGGGGGCCAGGCCATCCGTGCCCACGAGCTTGAGGTCGAGAGGTTTCGTCCGGGTCTGGGTTGCGTTGACGAGGACGAAACTGCCTTCCTCGTCTGAACGGGGAAAACGGAGGACAGAGGCCGTGGAGACCATTTTCAATTAGGTTGGCTTGGTTTGATTGCGTGACTTGATCGTCGCTCGGTTCCATGTATCAACTCTGAAAGTGAGGCAGCGCAAGTCTGGGGGAATCGACAGAGTGGCGGCAGCAGCAGCAGCAGCAGCAACAACAACAACAACACCAATCCTACCACCACTAACACCAACAACAGACGGCCGAGAAAAGCTGGACACCAACACCGTGGTGAAACACTTGACGCAGAACCAATCGGGTTGTACGGGCGGGTGAGGCCCAACTGACGGATCGAACGAGCGAGGACGACAGGTTGCGGCAGCGGGCCGAGAACAAGACACGGGGTGTCCTCGTAGTATGGACTGGTCGTCGTGGGTGTGATGACAGGAAGGGCTAGAGATGCTAGTCGACCAGTGCCAGGATGATGACGAAGTCGATAGTTTGCCAGGCGCGGAGATGAGGTTTGCTGGGATGCTCTCGGCCGTCGGCAGAGGTTGCAGCCCCGAGCTGGAGAAAGAAGGCAAGAAAAAAGAAAGACGGAGTATTGATCTCTCGATATTTGCTTTTGACGAAGAAATCCCGAGAGAAGCAACAAGCGTCTGTGCTTTGGGCTGCAGCCAACAGATGGTGGATGAGTCGCGCGTGAAAAAAGTAGCAGTCTGCTTGGTTTTTTCTTTCTTTCTTTTAGGCACCCACGGCTTGAAGCTCGAGACGGTCTGGCGTGTTTCCACAGAGGGGACAGCAAAGCCAACGAAGGCAGGATAGGCACCAGCGGCGCCAGCGACGCCAGCGACGATGAAGTTGCCTGCCTGAAGGAGGTAGGTAGCTTGGTGGTGGTGATCGTGGTGGAGATGATCTCCAGGCAAACACGGGGGCCAATCGACCGATCGACAGGTTAGACAATGTTCCGCGTCCTACATGTACGTCCTTGCAAGTACTGCAGAGGGGGTGCTCATGTGCAACGTGGCTGGTGAGACTGTACCAGGCCAGACTGTCCCAGGTCAGACGGAGAAGGGCTAGGCCTGGAGGAGCGAGGTCTTCTTCCTGGTCCTCGTCTTCTAGGTGCCTCAAAAGGTAATGTAGTTGTGATGACAGGGTGTGGGGTGTGTAGGCTGGCGGTACCTACCTTACCTACCTAGGTAAGGTACCTGAGCACCTACCCAGGGAGGTGTACCTGTAGGCTAGGGCACCTGAGAAAGTACCCGGCACGCCTGGCCAGCAGAGCAAGCCTAGCAGAGCAAGCATGGGTACCTCCCAGAACAGCGCGACCCCGACGCGTCAAGGTCGTGTCTGTGCTGGCTGGCTTGACCCAATCAGTGGTGGAATGCAAGCTCCGTTGAGCCACGTGACTTGCCGGCCTGGACTGCATCATGTCCCTGTCCACCTGTCCACCTGCCTGTCCACCTGTCCACCTGTCCAGTCCAGAGGGGGCTCCCCCCCTGCCGTCATGTCTCGCCAACAGGGCCTTTCACTCGCCAGCCACCCGCAAAGGCCCCGCCTAAACAGCACATTGAGCACTAGAACGACCGTGCCCCGCGGCCACCTCACCAGGACCCAGCACAGAAGAGGGACCTACGCCAGCTAGGTAGGTACCTTAGGTGAGGTCCCCAGAGGAGTAGGGTCATCCCCAGCCCCCAATCGCCCGCCAGCTCAGCCCTGATTTTCGCATCCTCCATGCATCCAGTCCCCCCCCCCCTTCCGACCATCTCGTGGCATGCTCCAACATTTGACGATACCACACCCACACCACCCGCCCGCCACCTACCTATCACCCAACGTCATCCACTGCGAACCGCTACCACTCCGTATACTCAATCCGAAAGCCTCTCTTCTTCGCCTTGTGAACTTTACTACGATAGAATCTCGACTTCGCATCGCCCACCCCTGAACGAAAATTTACGACGTGCACCAACTGAACAAATTAACCGACGACTGTGCTGTCCTGCTCCTGCCGCTCCTGCAACCAGCCCGAAAACCCTCAACCCTCAACCCACTCCCAGCCACCCGCCATTTTTCGCATCCGGCCACCTTTTGCGGCCTCACACAAACCCTTCTCAACTCTCCGTTGCGACACCTTTCGACCTCATCCAGACGAAGCAATCAATCGACAGGAGGCCCCGACGGCCTTTGGATGATTGTTGCTCTGGTGCGGACGACATGATCTCGCACCTTCCGTGAACAACGAAAGCTGTCGGATCCTCGACGTCCTCGCTGGACAGCGACCACACCACGTCACCCAGCGCAGCGACCTCAAACCGAATACTACAGAAGCAAACCAGCAGTAAACCACAGAAGCAAACTTTGTTCCACGATGGAGGCATTACGCTTGAAGCCACGACAGCCCGTGGAAGAACAGATTGAGGATTGGGATGATGGCGACTTTCAGATCGATGCCGGCGAGGCCCCCTTTCGCCCCGCCAATTCGCACAACCAACCGCCGAGCCGTCGCGACTCGCACTCATCCGTCATGTCCTTGCGCTCCGAGCTCGAGTCACTACCCGGCGACGAGAGGCAGCTGCATCTGCCTGGCGATGACGAGCGGTCGACCCTCGACGCCATTGCCGCTGCCACCAAGGCCGGCATCCCTATCCCGCAAAACGTCCCCTCGTCAGCCCTCATGGGCGGCACGATCAAGCGCCTGGGCGGTCGCAAGATTAAGAGGATCATCCAGGACGACTGGGAGAACGATCTCGAGCTGCCGGATTCCGCACAAGCCCTTCGCATCAAACCACAAGACGCCTCGCAGTTCCCCGACGCCCTGCGGCAAGTAAGCGGTCCTCACTCGAGCCCCACCAAATTGTCGGCCGCCGTCCGTCTGTCCATCAGCAAGGACGAGCGGAGACAATCTACCATGTCCATGTCGAGCGTCGTGTCGGGCGCTGCCAACCTGGACAAGTTTAAAGACAACGATGACGAAGACGATGACTTCTTCGGTGACGGAGGCGCTACCATCAAAGTGTCCAAGACGCGCCCACCCAAGCCCATCTCCCTCATCACGCCGCCCACACCGCAGAAGATGGAGAAGACGGACAAGATTGCTGGTGCCGACGACGACTTTGAGGGCGACTTCGAGCTGCCCTCTGACGGCAAGCTCAAGCTCTCCACGCGTAAGACCATTCCCAAGACGCCGGCAACGCAGGCCGAGGATATGGACTGGGGTGAAGGCAGCTTGGGCACTCGATTCGGCGGCACCAGGAGAGACGGCCGATCCAACCGAAGCTCCTCGGCGTCCGCCCTCAGCCCCAGCGTGTCCAGCTCGTTCACTGCCGAGAGTGAAGACGACACCTTTGAGGGCCTCCTGCTGCCAAGCGGACACGTCAACTTTGAGGAGCGACTCGTGCGAAACAGAAAGAGCCGCTCGCCTGTGCGTGCTGTGGAAGAGGAGCCTGCCGATCTCAAGACTCCTCAGCCTCAGGTCCAGGCGCCTCAGGGCCAGCTCGCACCGCGCGCTCCCCAAGCCGAAGCCGACAAGGATGACATGTTTAATGATCTTGAGCTCGGCGACGGCGAAGTCTTTGATTCGGGCAAGCTCACACTACACCGTAACATCCGCATGAACACAAACCGCCCCGCCAGCCCGACGCGGCCCAAGACGGCCGTCTCCATCACCTTCACCAACAAGCCCGTGCAGTCACGTCTGCCGAGACCGAACCATGAGCGCGCTCAGTCATCTTTGGAGCCCGTGTCGGAGAGTGGCGGTCCCATTCAGTCCAGATCGAGGCGGTCGCAGTCACGCATGGGTCACTCGTCACATTCTTCCGTCACCAGTCTACCCACACCAACGACGCCTTCTCCCATTCAGCTCATACAACCCGCGACGCCCCGCAGGCGAGAGATGAGCAAGCCTACATCCCACGCCTCTCTCCGCAACGAGCCCACCACCACCAGCTCCCAGCTGCTGAAGTTTAAGCGATCCTTGCCGGCCATGCGAGCGACGCCGCAGTCGCCCGCCAAAGCCCCCATTCCTCGATATGAGAGACCCCCCTCTCGCACCGATGGCCGCCCGCAGTCGTCTCTGCGACCCAAGACGCCGGTCGAGAGACGAGCTGCTGGAGAGCCCGCGCTTCAGACGGCCCGCAAGCCGTTCCTGCCCGCTGGTTCATCTACCACGCACTCACATCACATATCTGCCAAGACGGGACGGTCACTGCGACGTCACGACTCGAACAGTTCCATTGATCTCCGGCCCGCCTCGAGGACCGTCTCCCGGTCCGCGATGCGCTCGCCTAGTCCGCAGCGCCTCCACCGCAGCGCCAACCAGATCGCCCAGGGCGGACCGCGGGCTGGCTATTACCAGAACCGATCCAAGACGTTTGGTGACGGGCATGAGCTCGACGCTTTTGACGACCTGCCTACGTCCAGCCAGGCAGAGTCCAAGTACGTCTGCCAGCCAGCAAAGGCCCCTCTCCGAAACAAGATTTACCAGAACGTGCTGCCCGACCGCAACACTACCCCCTCACCGGTGCCTCAATCGCCAGCCAGATTCGACCGATCTGACAGCACACCACACTTTGCCCGCGACACTGCAGCTAGCAGGATCGCGCGGGAGACGTCACTGGCTCACCGTGCTCCTTCCAATGGACCGCTCGCACAATTGACGACCCAGCGTGTTGCGCAGCTTTCTAGCAGAAACAACTTTCACCCGGGTGTCCCACAGCCGACGGTGCGCTCTAAGAAGCATCGCAGCAAGCCTCCGCAGCTCAAGCCGCATTTGATCACCAACATGAACAAGGACAATTCTTCAAGGCGTAAGTTTGATCTCGATGTTCCCAATGTGCGGAGACAGGGATACTAACAAAATGACAGACGAGAAGGGCATGTTCTATAACCCACAAACACACCGATGGGAAGGCAACGAGAACGCGCTCAGCGCCTTCGACCCCCCAATGCCTTCACCTTCGACTCTGACCCCCATCGCTCATCTGCCGCGCGAGAAAGAGACTGGCACACCTCGCCCGGCTCTCATCACCAACATTACCGGGACCAAGAACGTTCAGGTCGTCGGAGGCATGGTGTTTGACCCGCAGAACATGTGCTGGCTCAAGCTGGACCCTCAGAATAAAGCAAAGTCCGAGTCCAATGATACGATGGATGGCTTCAACGCCCTGGACGACGATGATGATGTTTTCAAAGACATCCCCGACCTCGAGGACCCTCCTGCCGACTCTGCTGAAGGCGGTCACGGCCGTGTCAGCGATGTCAAGGACGACTGGCTTGTCGGCGAGGAGTTTGACGTCGGCCCCGAATTTGTGCGCCGCCAGCGTGAGGAAGAAGACCGGTGGAGGAAGAAGTGTGAGAAGTGGCTCGACGTGCCCGACCGCAACCGCGAGACCTGGCGCTGGGCCATCCGCGATCTTCTTGTGCACCAGCGCACCACGGCGCAATAACGGCGACCGCTCCCTCCCAGAACTACATACGAAGCGAAACTCCTCTACATTTGCACACACACTCATCACCACGACCACCCAACCTGCCATTTACCCATCTACGCATTTTAATACCCCCCCACACGTTACGATCGTCATGATGAGGTTGCAGCTCTTACGAGAGCTGTGGAGTTTACTGGGCGCGACAGCATTGTTTTGCGGATTGGCATGATTTTTTCAATTACTGATTTATAGGGTGGGGAGGCGGCTCCCCACACTGTCTGTGTATTATCACCCCCATCATAACCACGAAGACTATGAACTGAGGAGGCTTTAAAAGTTGTGCAGCTGCAGCAAGCAGCCGCGTTGTTGATTTTTCGAAGTGGTAGAACCAGAGGCAGAAGGGGTTGAGGCGCCAGGATAGGGGGTCAGCGTCTACCGACTTGACGCATGGCAGATGCGTCGAGCGAACAGAGAAATGAAGAGGATTGCCTGTGATATTCATGGTGCTCAGATGTGTTTTAATGTGACGACGTGATGCAAGCACTATGATTTTTCAACGACGTGTGAGATGCTTCTTTTTCTTTACGAAACCCAAACTCCTGGTACATAGATTTGCCGGGACGACACCACCAGGCTGCGCTGCTTCACATAATCTCGACCACACATATTTTTCTCTCGCTCCGCCCGCCCAGTCGGAGGCCATCTACTTTCCGCCCGTCTTCTTGCCCTTCTTGCCCTTCTTCTTCTCAGGCGTCGTCTTCGTCTCGGGCACAACCTTCTCGGCCGTCTCGGTGATCAGGCCGGCCTTCTTCAGCTCGACCTCGTCAGCGGGCTTCTTCGTCTTCTTCTCGCCCTTGGGCGCCTTCTTCTTCTTCTTCTCCTCTACGGCGGCGGCGGCGACGACGGGCTCCTCGGCCTCGGCCTCGGCCTTGTTGGCCTTTTTCGACCTGCCGCCCTCCTCCTGCGTCTTGTTCTCGCCCTTCTTCTCCCCCTTGGCGTTCGCCGCGCCCTTGTCGAGCGCGTGGGGATCGAGACCCCTCCTGCGCATGGCGTTCCGCTTCGCCTTGAGCATGTACCCCTCGTCCTCGTCGTCGTCAAAGCCGCCAAAGCCGTCGTCGCTCGTCTCGGCGCCCTCCTCAGCGCCAATGGGCGTCCTGTCGACGGGGGCGCTGTCGTCGTCGAAGCCGCCCGACTGCGCGCCGCCGCGGCGGCCGTTCTTGGTCGCGACGGACAGGCGGTCGGCGTCGGCGGGGCCGGCGACGGCCTTGGCGGGCGTGGGGCCGACCTTTTGGAACTTGGACACGAAGAAGCCGTCGACGTTGTAGGTGTGCGGGTAGTAGCGGCGCGTCAGCTTGAGGGAGGCGTCGAACTTTTTGCCCATGTACGACGTGAAGCCCTCCTTGCCAAAGGGGAGGCCCGTGTCGACGAGCTTGACGTTCGGGCGGCGGGAGAGGGCGTACTGCACGACGGCCTCGCTGCGGGGACGGTCGTTAGTTGTGTGTTCCTTCTTTTTTTTTTTAAGGCGGGGGGGAGGGGAGCAGGGAGACGGGCGTCGGGTATATGGACGCTTGTGAAAAGGGGCAAGAAAGGAAACGTACTTCTCCTCAATGGTGACGCTGCAGGTCGAGTAGACGACGAAGCCGCCCGTTTTGCTGTTGTGGTTCACCGAGTCGATGGCGGCGAGGAGCAGCTGCTTCTGCATGTGCGGGAGCATCATGAAATCGCGCTCCGTCTTGTTGGTCTTGACGCTGGGATCCTTGGCAATGACACCCGTTCCGGAGCCTGTGCAATCAACGTCAGCTGTGGACGACGGGGGTAGGATTCTCTTGCGGAGTCACGTACAGGGAGCATCGAGGAGGACCCTGTCGAAACCGCCCATGGGCTTGGGGAATTCTCGCGCATCATAGTTGGAGACGACGACGTTGCGCGCACCGAGCTGACGTCGTGTTAGTAACGCCGGTCAAGGATGCCATGACGAGCCAAACGTACGCGGTGAATGTTACCGATCAGACCCTTCGCACGAGCCTTGTTGGGATCGTTGGCCAAGATAAAGCCCTTGTTCTTCATCATGGCAGCCATGTGTGTCGTCTTGCCACCGGGAGCAGCGGCCATATCGAGGACGCGCTCGTTCTCCTGGGGTCCGAGGGCCATAACGGGAAGGAATGAAGAGGCGGCTTGCTGGGAGATGGTTAGTCTTCACGTCAAGACTGCTTGCGGCGCGGGCCTGAACGTACCAGAATGTAGTGGCCGGCGAGGTACTCGGGGCTGGCACCGAGGGGAATGCTGCTCTCTAGCCAAAACGTCAGCAAGTCGTTCACTCTCAAACGCCCCCAGCACGAGAGAACTTACCAAAGACCTGGAGACCGACCTTGCTCCACTTGCCGACAGGCTCCAGGACAACACCTCGAGAGATTAAAGACTGGGCGAGGTCTCTGCGGTGTGTCCTCAGAGTGTTGGTGCGAATGACGATGGGTCTCGGGCTCTCGTTGGCCTCGAAGAAGGAGAAGGCTTCGCTCGGGCTGAACAGGTTGAACAGCTTCTCAGCAAGGTATTCTGAGTAGCCGTAGTAGCCGCAAATGTCCTTGATCAGCTGCGCCGTGTACTCGGAGCGGCTGCGGCCGGGGTCGGCCAGCTTGGCGAAATCCTCGAGAATGCGCACATTGTCGGTCATGCGGTTGCGGAGAACGTGCAGATCCGGCGCGAGGGCTTTCTTCTTGGGGTCCTCATTGTCGTCGTCAAGCACCATGCCCGTCTCGGCGATATTCGTCTGCAGGCCCATCTCCTCGAGCTCCGCCGCTGCATCCTCAGCCTCCTGCGCCGCCTGCTCGTCGAGCTTGCGCGAGAGACCCTCGAGGTTCGCCCGGCTCAGCGCCTCCTCGCCATCGGAGTCGTCCTCGTCCTCAGAGAAGACATGCTTGTTCTGCTCCTGCTCGGGGTCGTCAGAGTCGAATACGGAGTCGTCAGAGCCGAGGAAATCGTCGCCCAGCGTAGCGTCGCCGTCGAGGCCAGAGAGGTCGTCGTCGCTGGCGGCAAGGTCGGCCATGTCATCGTCGTCCGAAAGCTCGGCCTCCTCCTCGACGACCTTGGCCTTCTTGCCCTTCTTGGGCTTGCTGCGCGGGTTCACCGCAGGGGTGACGGCGGCGTCGGCCTTCGCACCATTGGTGCCCTTGGCGGACTTGGCTTTCTTCGCAGGCGGTGCGGCGGCCTGCTGCTTGCTCGCGCGTCGCCTCTTGTTCTGGGGTGCCTCGGTGGGCTCATCGACGGGGAGGCCAGCCTTTCTCTTGAGCTTGGCGAAGTGAGCCTCCGACAGTGGCTCGGGAGGTCCCTGCTTCTTGAATCGGTTTCCGACCTGTTTCTCGAGTCAATCCTTGTCCAAGATGGTCTATTAGTCCGGAGTACTGGAAAATATACGTACACCCATGATTCCTGTGTTTCTTTGGAGGGCGGTATATCAGGGTCGTGTCGTCGTCGTTGTCGTCAGGTGGTCGCGATCCCAGAGATGCGCCAGCCAGTACTGTCCGCTGCAGAAAAAAGTTGGACCCCCACCGAAACTTTTCCTCGATAGCGATGCACGGACGCTGCGATAAGATGGGGAGCTTGGACACTGTGTGCAGTACGTACCCCTGGCTTGCTTACCTAAGTGAGTCTCGACCTTCTGGGCCATGTCCCTCATTGCGCTGCGGGCAGCTACCTAGGTACCTACGTACGTGGGGCAATGTGGATGGATCCAAGAATTGAATTGGCTCCCAGTGATGAGGTAGACAACCGCACATGTTCGTGACGTCTGGAAGCCTCCGTGCAACAGACATACAGTCTTGCGATCCAACCTCGAACGACTCAACGCATCCATAAACCGACAGCCATTCACTAGCCACGTCAGCAGCAGGCCCTGAACACCGCAAACATGGCCGAGGTCGTTTTCGCAAGACAGTTCCTGTCGACACTCGACTCCAAGCCCATCAAGCTCTCCGCAGACCATGTCGAGGATCCCAAGAACTTCCCCGCGCGCCCTCCCGTTCGTCTCTCCTCCTCCGTCCCAGGATCCCCTTCCCGGCCCGTGCCCTGCCCCATGCTGACCCGCGCAGTACGTCCTCCCCAAGATGCCCAAGGCCTTCAGCAAGCCCGCGGCGCCGCTGGCCCCGGGCCAGGAGCGCAGCGTCACCGTCGTTCTCAAGTCGCTGCGCAACCCGCCCATCGACGTCAAGCTCACCTCGCAGCCCCTCAACACGTCCGTCCTCGACCTCAAGGCCCGCGTCGCCGAAAAGGCCAGCGTCCCCGCCGACAAGTTGCGCCTGCTGCACCGCAAGAAGCCCGTGCCCGACAGCAAGATCCTCAAGGACCTCGCGGGCGACGACGAGGTGACGGTCGATTTTGCCATCATGGTCATTGGCGGGGCGGCGGCCGTGCAGCAGCAGCAGCAACCGGCTGACGGCGAGGCGGGCGTCGGCGTCGCGGGCGAGGCTACGGGTGCTGCGGCGCTCGAGACGGAAGCCTTTTGGACGGATCTCAAGGGGTTCCTGATGCAGAGGCTCAAGGATGAGGCCGAGGCCGAGAGGCTGGCCACGTCATGGCACGCCGACTGGGCGAGCAAGAGGTAGACAACGGCAGGGAGGACACTTGGAGCATGTGTGAGAGCAGGGGGGGCGTTCATAGCTACGGCGGGAGAGGGACAGCGATCATTGAGCATCAAATGAGAACACGAGAATGACAAGAACCGCGACAAATTGTGGCGACGACAGCGAGATATCGTGTTTACATCCCAGCGTATGATATTTTCCTTATGGAGTACCGTGACCAACGAAACAGCACAGCCAGGCGGAGGGCCATCAGATCTGGAAATCAAGCCTTGTCGCGGTCCAAGAGAAAAAAACATGATCCGGGGCCAATCCCTGGGTCTGTCTGGGCCCGCCCGGTCGAGTACGTGGGTATACGCGAGCGGAGACGGAGACAACAGCCATCAGGGGTTCCCCCGGCAGACTAACATTTCATCCTCCCCTTTTCGCGATTGCAACAGTCAACCTCTCCGTCATTGGGTCATCATTCGTCTCTGAGGACGGTAGTCGCTAAAGAGTATATGCTCTCCGTCTTCGCGTTAAGAAAAAGCTCCAAGATACGGTGCCGGCAAGTGTGTGGGAGGGGGTGCGGGGAACGACACGTTTATGCGGCAAGACCCTTGCTGACGGTCTTGATGATGCTGTCATACTCAATGTCGTCGTGGTCGTTGGCCTGGAGCTCGGTCGCAAGGCCGGTCAGGGAGCGCTTGAGAGCCTCCTTGGAAGAGGCGTAGATCATCTTAGCCTGTATAGGGTGTCAGCACGCCGTACTATGTGGAGGCCAGGCAGTTGCAGAGAGAGGGAGAGAGAGGAGGGCAAGGTGCTCACCATGATGCCAGCATCATCGGGGGACCACGCGATGAAGGCGATCTTGTTGCTGCGGTCGGTGTTAGTATGTGAGCCTGCGCCCAAGTTCTGTTGACGACGTACCGCTCGCCCTCGCCCGAGGCAAGGCTGTACTGGAAGTCGTAGACGGCGTAGCGGGGACCCTTGCCGACGGCACCCTGGAAATTCGTTAGCGCCATCTTCTCTCTGAGCTGAGCTGTAAAGCGCCTGCGACGTACAGTCTTGGACTTGCTGGTGGCGTTGATGAGCCTCTCGCGGAAGGTCTCCCAGTCCTTGCTCTCAGAGGCCTCCTCGATGACAATCTGCTTGTTGTCGTCGGACAGCTTGAAGACAATGTACTTGTACTTCTTGTTGAGCTTCAGGTCGTTGTACGCCTCGATGCACTCCTGGGAAACGGACGCTCTGTGTTGATTTGCCAAGTCAGCGTCTTGTTGCGGTGTTGCACTCCAGGAAACACCTCGTTCGGTCCATGTTGCGGGGGTCGCCCGACCGGGGTGGCCGGGCGGGCGTAGGCGCCGAGGTTCGACAGAGCTGGTTGGGGTGAAGGAGGATGAACAAACCCGGATTGAGACTGTGATCGAGGTTAGAGCCCGTTGCAAACGAGACGTTGTCGGCCGGAAGCGTAAGTCACTCACCATTGTGTATGTGGGATGGCGGGGGGGCGCAAGTGGGTTGGGGAGACGGGCTGAGCTACAATTAGCACACGGCTGGGATGGCTTCGAAATGAACAATTTGTGAGGATGAAGCGACAGAGATCCGAGGTTGCAGGAGCTTTTTAAAACTGGCAATGCCTAGTGGGAAAGGTGGGTTGGAAGGTGCAGGCAACAGCTTACAGTAAAGTCGGGAAACGTAGGCAGAGAGAAGTAGTTGGAGTTGGGTCGTCGATGTCCTGGTCTGACGAGCTGGCGGCTGGGGGCCATGGAGGGGGGGAGTGGGAGAAAAACAGCCCCAGCATGGTGGGGTTGGCACGGTGAGACATGCCACGTGACCCGCGTCGTCAGCCACAGAACACCAGTGCACCACCCAAACAACAGCATCCCCCATGCAGTTCTTGGCCTGATGGTGCGCGTCCTGCCTGCATTGCATCCTCTTGAGACTGGTCCCTGACCCCTCCATTCCATCACCAGGGATCTGGACAAAGTCTGGACGCACTGGGCGATGGAGCTTACGCAAACCCAGGCAGCAAGATCACGAGTGGCGCACATGATGTTAACTTGTTTTGTTCATCCTAATTTACACGGCTGATCGGCGCTATAGTACAGAGATGAGCTCAAGCTGTGCAGCTGCCTCGCCAGCATCTGCTCTGCTCGTCCTAATGGAACATGGTCTAGAAGACGAGAGGTAGAGAGGAGTTGTAGTACAAGGCCGCGATCCCATCCGTTACAGAACACCAAAGCCATGCTCCTTCCCCCGTCCTTTTGATACAGAAAATTTTGGTCAATCACTTCTTACATCATGCCACCCATGCCGCCCATGCCGCCCATACCGCCCATGCCGCCAGGAGGACCGCCGGGGCCCTTCTCCTCGGGGGCCTCGACAATGGCGACCTCGGTGGTGCCCAGCAGAGAGGCAACACCACTGGCGTCACGAAGACCGGTGCGGACAACCTTGAGGGGGTCGAGGATACCGGCAGCGATCATGTCAACGTACTCGCCCTTGGCCGAGTCAAAGCCCTTGTTGAAGTCGCCAGCGAACTCGTCAGTGAGCTTGCCGACAACGACAGAGCCCTCGAGGCCGGCGTTCTCAACGATGTTGCGAGCGGGGCGGGTGATGGCGTTCTTGATGATGCTCACACCAAGCTGCTGGTCAAAGTTGCCGGGCTTCAGGTCCTTAAGGGCGTTGGTGGAAGCCTTGATCAGAGCAGTGCCACCGCCAGGCAGGATACCCTCCTCAACAGCAGCGCGGGTGGCGTTCAGGGCGTCAACGAAGCGGTCCTTCTTCTCGCCGACCTCAACCTCGGAGGAGCCGCCGACCTTGATGACGGCGACACCACCGGAAAGCTTGGCGAGACGCTCCTGGAGCTTCTCCTTCTCGTACTCGGAGGTGGTGGGGTCGTTGATGACACCACGGATCTGCTCGCAGCGCTGAGCGAGAGCATCCTTGTTGCCCTCGCCGTTCAGGAAGATGGTGTCCTCCTTGGTGATGGTGATGGAGCCGGTGGAGCCGAACATGTCGGGGGTGGCCTTCTCGAGCTTGACATCGAGCTCATCGGAGAAGACGGTACCGTTCGTGAGGACAGCAAGATCGCCGAGGATGGACTTGCGGTTGTCACCGAATCCGGGGGCCTTGACGGCGGCGACCTGGAGCTGGCCACGGAGCTTGTTGAGGATGCAGACGGCGAGAGCCTCACCCTCAATGTCCTCGGCGATGATGACCAGGGGACGGCGGGCCTGGGTGGAGGCCTCGAGGGCGGGGATGATGTCCTGGACGGCGGAGATCTTCTTCTCGGACAGCAGGATCAGGGGCTTCTCGAACTCGACCTTCTGGGCCTTGGTGTCGGTGATGAAGTAGGGGGAGACGAAGCCGCGGTCGAAGCGCATACCCTCGGTGACCTCGAGCTCATCGGCCATGGTCTTGCCCTCCTTGACGGTGATGACACCCTCCTTGCCGACCTTCTCCATGGCGTTGGCGATGAGCTTTCCGATGTGGTGGTCGCCGTTGGCGCTGATGGTGGCGACCTGAGCAATCTCCTCGCTGGTGGTGATGTCACGAGTGTTCTTCTGGAGGTAGTCGACGACGGCATCGACGGCGGCCTGGATACCACGGCGGAGATCCATGGGGTTGCAGCCAGCGGCGACGTTCTTGACAGTCTCGGAGAAGATGGCACGGGCGAGAACGGTGGCCGAGGTAGTACCGTCACCAGCGACCTCGTTGGTCTTGGAGGCGACGTCCTGGACCAGACGAGCACCAAGGTTCTCGAACTTGTCCTTCAGGGTGATGGCCCTTGCAACGGTGACACCATCTGTTTTCAATCAGCACTGAGGTTGCAAAGAGACGAACGAATAGACTAGGGATGCTGACCCTTTGTGATCTTGGGGGCACCGAAGCTAGACTCGATGAGAACGTTGCGGCCCTTGGGGCCAAGTGTTGTCGAAACGGCCTTCGCGAGGGTCTCGACACCGGTGAGCAGGGCAGCGCGAGCCTCAACACCGAACTTGAGTTCCTGTTCACGGAGTGATGAGCGATGATTACAGTATTTCAAGATGTCGTCCCTAGCATTGAGCATACCTTGTGAGCGTAGCGGACCTGGCCGAGAGCAGCGCCCTGGCGGAACTGGCTCGTCGCCGAGTTCAGGACCGAAGTCCTCGTGCGGGAGGTCAGCGCGCGCTGCATTGTGATGAATTAGAAAAGGGGTATATGTGGTATCACAACAAAGAAACGACCGTAAAGTACACAGTCGCAGAGGAGAGAGAAATGACGACGGTTGCTTGGGAGGAATATGGGGGGGGATGCAGTAGAAGGAGGAGGTTTGCTGATGGAAGCTCTGCAGAAGCTCCCCCTTCGCGTCCCGATGTCCCATCCCCAAAAATTTATCTCGGAGCTCGGCTAAACGAGGCCCCTTGTACTCCCTATCCCCGATTTATTCACGCTAACCATATTCGGTTAAAGCAAGACCCATACACAATTCCACCTCCTTCCAATGCCGTCTGTCCGATTTGAAGCCATCGTGAGTCGAGCAATGTCTTCTACACACTAGCCGAGGCCGGCCTCTTGCCGTAAGGTTACTTTAATGGCATTTTTATGGAGTACACGGCAGGCTTGTCATCGGCGGCTTTGTGTTGTTGAACGAAGACCACATGCTGTTGTCGCAAACTGGTGGACAAATCAAAACAGTAGTATTGGGAAGCAAACAGAGCCATTACGACGAGTGAATGAATGAAATGGTTTCTGCAGCATCCCCAGTGTACCCTAGCGACCATCACCAACGCAGCGCGCGGTTCAGCTCTCCTCGGTGCTGTGATGGCAACGGGCTCCCTGGCCGAATACCTGTGGGGCGGCTGATTCAGGGGCAGATACAGGGGGGATCCAGTGCCCGAGAGAATGAGTGACAGGGTCACAATCGGCCGTTGACTTGGACGCAGCAGCTGCACAACACGGGGCGCTCTTCATCATGGTTGACAGGCTATTTCAGAGTCTATAACTCTGCTCTCTTTCCCATTTATCTCCTGGATGTCCTCAGCCTAATGACGTGCAATCATCGATTCCCATGTATGAGCAAATGCCGGCAGCTGATTCCCATGCCTAGGTTTTCTTTGTTGGTCGCTCACAACGTCGTATGCCCTATTTGTGACCTCTGGTAGAATCAGCTCACTCCTCGATTTCCTCCTCAGGCTCATCCTTTCCTGCATGAGATATAATGGTCAGAAAATTGAAGTTGCAGCTGCAGGTACTGTCTTGAAATCAGGGCGACATACCAGCATTTTGCTGGACAAACGGGTCCTCGTCGTTCTCCTTCACCGGGACGGCGACGGACTTGGAGCGCTTGGTCTTGCCCTCCGCGGCACTCCCAGCAGCCTTGGTGGCGCGCTTGCGCTTGGCGGGGGTAGGAGCAGCAGCAGTGCTCGGATCCTGCGAGGCAGCGGGGAGGGCCGTGGCGGTGTTGGTGCCTTTGGTGGTGAGGTCCGAGGGCTTCAGGTCGAAAGTCTTCAGAAGCCGCTCGAAGCGCTTGTGACTTAAAGTGGCGATCGATTAGTATAGGGTGTATTTTGGACGAGGTGAGGGGAGATACGTACGCGGCTGCCTTGCTGGTGATCTCAAGCTCATTGGCGACGGCTTGGAAGTTGATCTTGCCAAGTCAGCGGTTTCCTGCGAAGCTTTCCGTCGATGCCAGGGGCACTCACCTTGTTGTCAGCGCCGAAATTCTTCCAGCAGCAGATGACAAGCTTGAGAGCCTCTTGCGAGGTGTCGGTGGCGTTGCCAGCAGGAGCAGTGCTTTCAGACATGATGATGGTCGGTCGAGTTGGTAGTGATATGATATCTGGTTGTTTGGGTTTCTTAAGCTGATGATGAGTGCTTGCTCCTGCAAGATAAGTTTGTCAGGGTGGATCAAGTTGAGGCGTAGGAGAAAGAGAATACGTTGTCTTAAAGGTTGCGCACGACTTGAGAACCCAAAGGAGCTGCTGGGAATATATGGCCGACGAATGGAAGGAAGGACCAGGACTTGCGGTCCATAGGAACTATGTGCGTGCATGTGATGTCTTGATTTTCTCGACGCCTTGTAGTTTCTACGAGCGCTTCAAGTTGGCAGGATGGAAGTCAGTCTCACCACTCAGAGCTTGAGAAAGTGAATGAGTGCCCTGGAAGTTGAAGCAGGTGCGCTTGCGAGACGATGGGACAAAAGCTGAACGCACAGAAGACACTTCTATCACCAAACTGAGACCAAACTCACAAATGTGTGAACAGTCTGTAACCCATCTTCGCCTGTCAACACAAGGACCTCCAAGTCACATCTATCGTTCACCTTTGTACACCGAGCACTCTCGCGATCCCCAGAATTTCCGGACAGAGCCTTGCTCTCCTGATCCTCCGAGAGAGAGCCCCGAATAGTGCTTCGCGTGGGGGAACTTATCTGCATCGTCCAGAGGGAGCTGTATGTAGTAATTGCTCCAAGGCCTCCCGCCGTCTTTTGGCTTGAGCTCCGAAAATTGTGGGAGGTACAGACCCGTTCAAGCATATCGATGCGTCTGTAGCTGCAACGAATTTCATTCCAAAGATAATTACTAATTATGACTATAACTATATGAGGGTTATCATATACGAATATGAGAAAATAAGAGAGAGGAGGGGTAGACCCCTGATCCATATGTGTTAGGACGGCCAAACATGGTTCTTGGCCAAGAAGTCTCCTGCAAGAGAGGCGCAGCAGCAAGCCACTGTGCTAACAAAACCAGCTGTTTACCAGTGGCTGTATCCGCCCTTAACAGCACCGAAAAGCTTGCCAAGGAAACCAAAGGCGCCGCCGACAATAGCGCTCAGGGTGCTCGCAACGAAGCCAGTGACGAGCGAGACGATGCCGGCACCACCGAGAATGGCACACAGGCCTGCAGAGAGCGCGGCCTTGATGCCAAAGAGGCCGAGGGCGGCGACGCAGAAGACCTTGTCGGCGAAGATCTGGCCGATCAGAGTGACGAAGCCAATCTTGGCGGAGAGGAAGGCGCCGAGGAAACCGCAGAACTTGGTGGCAAAGTCGGCCTCGAGGAAGAGCTTAGCCCAAGCCTTGAAGAAGGCGCCGCCCTTGAAGCCACCGCCGCAGATCTCGTTGAAGCTCAGCTTGCCGAAGAAGTCGGCCAGGAGGTCGGTGCAGCTGCCAGCGCCGAGAAGGGCGCCGAACTTGCCCTTGAAGCTGGCGCCGAGAAGCAGCTCGAGCTGAGCGGCAAAGTTCACCTTGGCGCCGAAGAGGGCAATGAATTTGGCAGTCAGGTCAGCGCCGAAGCCGAGCTTGCCGCAAATGTGGCCCATGAAGTTGGCATCAGCGAGAAGACCGCCGAGCGCGGCGCCAAATCCGGCCTTGACACTGAGAAGAGCCTGTAGCTTGGAAATAAACAGGCTGTCGCCGAAGAGAATGCCGAATTTGCCGCCGACAACGCCCTGGCCGCAGAGGCTGACGAAGAAGTTGACGAAGCTGCTGCTCTTGAAGAAGCCCCCGATCTTGGCGCCAAAGTCGAAGCTGGCGCCAAAGTGAGCACCAAAGAGAGAGATGAAGGCATCAGCACTGATGCCAGCCGAGAAGCGCTTCATAAACTCCACATTGGAGAGGAGAACACCAATCTGGGCGCCAAAATTGCCACCAGCAACAATGCCGGTGCACTTGTCGAGGAAGGCATCATTGTGGAACAGAAGATCGATCTGGCTGATGAAATCGGCGCTGCCACAAAGCTTCTGAAACTTGACGAGGAACTCGGCATTGGCACTCAATTCAATGACATGGGCAGCAAAGTTGGCGTCACCGAGAATTGTGTGCAGGCCAGCGCTGATATCACCTCCAGCGAGGCAGTCGTCGACGAAATCGGGAATGGGGCTGCAGTCGGAGTCAATTAGAGTCACATCAAGTGAGACAAAAGGCACTTACTTCTCCTCGTCACCGTCACAGTCACAATCTTCGTCATCGGGCGTGTCCTCGTAGGTGCGTCGGGAGTCTAGAAAAATCAGCTGACTGCATCCTCGGCACCTCAACCCTGTTAACTTACTCTCAACATTGGGAGACACGACAGAGGACCGGACTTGGACATCTAAGTGGACTATTAGTTTCTTTGAAGTTCTTGTTTGAAGAATCATCTGATACTTACGGTTCAGAGTAGGAACAAGCGGCGCAGCAGTGACAGTGGCAGCGCAGAAAAGCGCTGTGAGGGGGACGAAGAACTTCATTGTGTCGGTGTGGTTTGTATTGGAGCAAATGTGAAATCAAGGTAATGATAAAGTCCCGAGCACGGCTCAGTGGAAGAAGAACGAAAGACTTGGTGAGAAGGAAAGAGTCGAACGAGAGACAAGTTGTGAGAGAAGGTGATGCTGAGGAAAGGCTTTCTCTCCTGGCTTTCGTCGTGCAGGCACAGCAATTTATATCCCTAGTCTGCCTTCAACTCACGTCGCGTCTACGAGGCAGCTTCCCGGCCGCCATAATCATGATGTCTGTGACAGTTGAGCCCGTGAGAATGCAACTGACTGAGCTCGACCACCTCACCTGGAACCTGGAACACCGACGCCATTCAGGTGGCCGGTAGCCGACCTGAGGATCCTGCGATCTTCTGAATGCCATGGACCAGAAGGATACTGTGTATGCTCTAGTTCCCCAGACTAAGATAGGAACCGAAATTAAACCAGGCTCAAAACATCGTGACCAACCGGTGCCTCCCGTCAGCCTTAGCTGATAGCGGCATAGCCAGGTCATGATGCGACGAGCTAGCGCATGCTCTGCACAGACGCCCAGCACGGCGATCTACAGCCACCGGACGGTGGGTGCCTTGTGCTCCTCGTATGCCATCTGGAGAGTCAGGCGAGATCAGACTGCAAGTAAACAGACGAAGCTGTTTTGGTCCTTAGCTGTTTCATCATTGATCTGGTTGGGGCAACATGGCTAGTGACGTTCCAATCCGGCATGTGATGCCCAAAATAGGTAATGCTGGTTGGAATCACAAGCCGATTCGGCCCCAAGGATCGCGTCGCTGGGAATGACCTCTCTTCAAATCCGAATACATGAAGTTGACTCTTGCTGTTTGTTCGCGGTCTTGAAGGGAACAGGACGCCAGTAACCCTGGTCGGTGCCTCCTGGCGACCGCTTCGGAGGCACAGCGGCACGGTGTGTGGAATGCGATATACGTTCCATCTGAACAACGACTGTCCTATTCAACTTTCATGTCATCTGATAGCAAAACAAAAGAACGAGCGCGCGAGGCCGGGAGCTTGTACGTTCACCTTCACATGTGGCTCAGGACCCTTGCGACCGCCCATAGCGTGTGGCCTGAGTTCAATGCGTACCTGCAAAGCTAGCGTCGACTGCGCCATGCTCATAGCGGCGGTGACCCTGGGCGGTGACCCTTGAAAGCAACAACACCACCGCAATGCGAAGGCGAGGAGAAAATAAGGAAAAAGACCGCTAGGGCGATATTCTACCGTATTCGGCTTTCATATGCTTGAGTGCAGGCTCACTCTGCTCGCGACCGCGAGAGGTCTGCCCATCCTGATCGCAAACAGTCGAGCCTCCAGGGTTGCCTAGGATCATGAACTGATGGGTCACTGAGGGCTACCTCGTTACACTGGAATACAAGATAGAATGATGCAGGATTTCAACGAGATGTTGCAACTGCGAACAGAGATGACTTGCTGGGGCTGCAAAGACCCATGATGCCTCACGCGTCGGACAGAGATTGTATTGGCCTGGGTATAGATCTGTGGCTAAGCTGGCTTTTGGTCTCTTGATCCACGCGCCAGGCTCATCTGGATCTTGCCAGCGACGGAAACGCGTGCTGATACCATAATCTGAAACCATTTCTGGAATACCAGGTTCAATAAGAAGAACGGATTGCTCTTCTTCAGAAAGTAGGTCTCCTACGGTAGGTGCCTAGGTACATGGTAGGCAGGTAAGAAGGAAGAAAGGAATGTGAGCCATCACGTGTGCTTACTAAGCATATTGGCCTGTGCTTGGAGCCATTGGGGTTATGAGCCCTGTTTATGCGTTATTTTCTGCCTTCGGGCATTTGGTCAATTTGAAACGATACAGAGAAGATGTAGGTTATTCCACACGTCCTGAGTTCGAAACCCGTACTGACCAATTCTACAGTAGCATGGCCCCTGCACTAAGGATGACACGCTCAATCAAAGAGAAGCTACAAATTTTTTTGGCTTCCAATTTTCGTCCATCTGCTGTTATTCCGATGCGAAAAGTACATGGGCTGCTCAAAGCACCTGACGGACTACTTCTGCGAATACGCATGTGGTTCTCGCGAATCTGCACGGAGTCTTCGGAGGCTAACGGGAATTGTCGCCAGCAATGCCTAGAGCAAGTGTCTCAGAATTCCTAGGCGAGTTATCTCTTCATCGTGCCCCTTTTACTCGCTTTTTTCACATTTACACTGCGGCCTCGTTGGGCGCAGGGGAGGTGTATCTCCGAGCTACTCGACCAAAACAGTAAACTAGAATACAAAATACCACATGGTCAAGATCTTGTAATTCATGAGAACTTGTCGTCGTCTGCAAAACGCCGTCACCTATCCATACCGCCAACGACATTGTCTGCTGTGAATCACCTTCAGCTATTCCGCCCTACTACAACCTCAACCCAGAAGACCTCAGATGCCGGTCGCCGTGATCCACCACCGTTACTCGCGTTGCATGCAATCAGACTGGTTCTCCGAGACCCCGAGTAAGACATTGAGTATGGTGCTGCGCTAGGTTGCCATGGCGGCCTCTTCGCATCCGATATGGCAAGGCACCAAGCAGGTACTTAATT